ATAATTATATATAATGTGTTAAATAGTGTAGAATATCCATATATGTATCATTATTCTTATTTATAAAAAAAAATTAAAATGACCAGTTTATATTTTTTTTTATATAAAATAAGTGTTGCATACCCTTTTTTTTATTGATTCAATTTTTAATTGATAGTGTGTACTATTTTGTATTAATTATGATCTTAAATACATGAAATAAATTATATTAAGAGGTGAATATCTATTTTATAATTAATTATTATTTTTATGAAAATTACTCACTATTTTTAATAGTTATATTTCATAACATGATTAAAAAATATGCATTTAAAATCTAATTTACCTTTAATTTTTACATCTATCTTATATACCGTACTATTTTTTAATCTTTTTCTTTAATATCGATTTTTTTTTTCTCACACTTGAAGTATATATAATGCTATTTTGTGTTAACCATATCGCGCGGCAAATCCCATGGACCCCGGATCCGGATTCTACTTTAGGAAAAGAAAGTTATGGTAACTTAATACATCTCAACCATTAAATGTATAAAAATAAATCAGATTGTGACACGTGTACAATATATATTTTAACTTAAATGTACACGTGTCACAATCTGATCATTTATTACAAATTTAACGGTTGAAATCCTAACTTTCCCTCCACAAAGTCAGGAGATCCATTTCCATGGACCCCATTGTGAATGTATGAAGAGATACATGCATGATCCATGACGCAGTAAAAGGGATGTGACTAATGGTGGCATCTCATCAAACATGCTACTCCAACCTACTTGCACACCTGGCCACTGTCCCTTTAACCAGGCTCATATGAAGTGAGATACATGCACATGCACTACTTGGCCTGTAAATTTTATAAAAGACAATAATGACTAATTAGGTCCAGCAGATATTAACATAATCTTGGTGACTAGATTCATTTACATGTATACAAGACATTTCTTAAAAATAAAAATCATTTGATAAATTATGGTTATATTTACTTTCATTATAATATTCATTCATCGTTACATTTTATAATTGTATAATACTTATCATCATTTAAATGATATAATATTTTGTGATGTAATATATAAAAATAAAAATTAAAAAATAATATGTAATTTTTTTTATTTATATTTATTTTAATGAGTGATTGATATTTATTTTATTAATAAATTTTATTTATATTATTTATTTAGTTTTTTTATTCTTCAAATATCATGTTATTAAATGTCAGATTAAATATAAATAAATGTTAAAACTTAACTATTGGTAAATGTCAATTTTACAAAATTATCAAAATTTTATATTTTTAAAATTAAAGGGTTAAATATCTTTATTTTAAAATAAAATAAAACTAAAATTATGAATTGATGATAATAGGTGGATCAACAATATAATTTAGTCAAAAATTTAAAATAAATTTTAATATATAAAAATCAAATCCTATATATTAAAACAATTTTTTTTTATGCAAGAACATTTTTTTAAAAAAAATTGATTAAAATATTTTAATTTTTTCTAATTAATATAAATTTATTTTTATTTATTATAATTATTTCAAATTAAATTATAATATTTTTTAAAAATTTATCAATAGATAAAAAAATGATATTGTATCATAATATAGATTAATTATAACAAATATAAAATATTTTATTTATATAAATTTTAAATATAATTTATATATTAAAATATAATATCTATATATATAATTTATTATATGTTTAATCTATACATTCACATACTAAAATAGTAGTTATTAATTAACTTTTGACGGGAGATATATATCCTAGATTTAACCAAAAGAAGAAAGTGCACAAAATTATCGTTAACACCGCGTGTTACTCATCCACAAACAAAGCCTTGCCTTTTACACAATAGAAAAAGTTAAAAGGGGAGCGCACTTTTATTATTTATCACGTAAACCAACTATCAGCCTAATTCTAAGATCGGAGCACCAAGCAAAAAATTTTAAATTTAAACTCCATTTCATTGAAATAAATATATTATACATAAACGAGAACGCAATGAATGATATTAATTTATGATGATAAAAGAATACTAATAACAGATATCTAGAAAAGTTAAATGATATTTTTATAGTTTAAATAAAAACAATTTATACTATCCTTATAAGTTCTTTTAAACTTATTTTAATAAATTTCATGGTAAAATTTATCAAGATAAATTCTTTATTTTGTTTCAATAAAACAACTCACTTGAACTTATGTACAATACTAGATCTTATGTGATAATTTATCGAATAAGTAGTTAATTAAATCAAATACCGAAATGCACTCTAGGTTTAAAACTACAATTAAATGTAGATTTAATATTTTATCTGTTTCTTTTTTACTTCTTTCTAAGTATATAATATATATATATATATATATATATATCAAAAATATAATTAACCTCTTCATTTTTATTAAAATTATTTGTAATTTTCATGCATGCCTTTTATCTTTATTATTTAATATTATATATATATGAGGAATGTTTAAATGACATCAATGTAATTTTTACTGAGCTCAATAACTTTATATTTAATGTGAATTTTATAAATTCAAGCGTTAGATTAAAAGTTCTTTATTTTTGAGATTATATATATAAAATTTTATATTAATTCAAGATGATTTGATATTTTATTTTTATAAACTAAAAATAATATAATATATATTTTAAAATATAATATAATATAAATATTTTGACTATTTTTAAATTATTGTTCAATTTTAATAAAATTTGATATAAATTATAACAACTCTAAGATAAAATAAGACTCTAAAAGTTGGATAACTAACAAAATAAAGATGAGTGTCTTACATTCAAACTAATTTATGATGTTTACCATTCTTAAATTTATCTCTTCTAAAAGAATTCTTGGAAAATAAGCTTCATCACAACTCAATAAATTAAGCTGTAGTTTATTTGTTTCCTGAAAGAAAGTAGGAGGCTGGGCACTTGGACAGTATATATATATATATATCTAGGGTTTCAGATGTAGCAGTATCAGAGATCTTGAAGGGGTGTGAATTAAAAGTGCAGTTAGCATGAAAAGAGGTGAAAGCAGTGGTGGTGGCCAAAGCACCCTGAATTACCTGTTTGGATCAGAAGAGCTGCAGTCATGTCATCAGCCTCCACCCCCAAACCCAAAGCCACCACTTTCATTGCCACCTTATGGCATTGACAATCCCCCCAATGCTCCTGCCTCTTCTCAAGGCCAAAACTTGGGAAACAATATTCTAACCGTACGTATACGTGATTAATCTTCTATATATACAATATGATATCATAATTCTTAATTACCAATTATGAGTCATATTAACATTTCTTCGTTTTTCTTTTTATCAATGCTTTAACACATCAACAAATTCACAATGATTCAGAATCGTCCTTCAACAAAAGTCAAATCGGTACCGGGTGGACACTCCTCTCTTGGGTACTTGTTCGGAGACAAATGATCGATATGCTTTCATTTTTATCTCCATCTCCCTCGTGCTGCTGCTGCCGCCTTCCGTGAAAAAGGGGAGTATCAACAACCGAGTACTACTACATAATAAAAAGTAAACAATGTCACGTGTTCAAATTCACTTGTGTCGTAGATTGGACGTGTGCCATTAATTACTGTCGTAAAAAAATAATGCATCAGTGTGTGTGCTTTCTACGGTTAATTACGTCGCTCAAGTGTGTTTGCTTTCATATGTACGCCTTGCATTGCACTAAGCTCAGCTCTCTTTTTCTTGCGTAGCTTTCTCATCTTGTTCCTAATCTTTGGCGTACACCTTGTGCTAGGTTGGTTACAAGATATTAATAAATTTCATTTGTCTTACTAAAAAAATGTATTGCTAGTATTCATTTTCTTTTCAGTTTTCAGCATGGTCGATCTTTCTCGCAATCTATATTTAAATTCAATTGACGCTTAACGTTTTAATTCAACAGATGCTTTATATTAATTAAAGCTACCTGATGCCTATATATAGAAACATTCATTAATTATATCTACAATACAACTTCATGATTTGATGTATTTGTCTGAGATTTCGGAGTTTCTGCTTTAATTTTTATTCACTTCATTATTGCAAATTGGTTTTAACTTTCCTTTTAAGTTAACTATGATCATGTAGTAATTAACCCATGATTAACACTTCCATTTTAATTTTCCATTATGATGATCTAATTTCTATTTATAGTTCTGTCACCACAATCACTACTACACTTTACAAGGACTATCAGGTTTATTTAGAGGTTACAACTTTTTGGGGTTCTTTCTGTTCTCTTCCTCATTGTCGTTTATTCCAGCAGAAAGTAAAAACATCGGCCACCCGCACACTTCCACACTGTCTCTCTCTTGTGAAGCTGTGACTATATATATATATTTTGATGTGTTTGCATATATAGAAAGGATTGTTCAACACTGTTTGCTTCAGAACAGTTCTTACACTGAAAACGAAATGATGGTTAATTAGCCAGAAAATGAAGTCTTTGTCTTCGGTGTATTCGCACTTGATCTATACCTTCTCCAAGATCATGTTTAATTTCAGCAAGTTTTTTCCCCTTTCCGTTTTACTTTTCCTCAATGGAGCCAAGTATAAGTTTTTAATTGTCTTATATTTAATATTTTTTATTATTGTCACTAAAAATTTAAGAAATGATTCATAATATTTTTTAATTATTTTTTATTTTTTATTTTTTAAATATTTTATTTTTTAATTAATTATTTTATTAATAATCGATGTGAGACTTGAATTTTTTTTTAATTGTCATATATTTAATATTTTTTGTTATTGTTAAAAAAAGTTTAAAAAATGATTCAGAATATTTTTTAATTATCTTATCTTTAATATGAGACTTGATGATGATTATCCTGTACTTACAAGGTGAAAGTTGCTTTCTATTTATATACTCTTTAATTATTTTATTTATAGTTGATGTAAGATTTGACTTTTTTTTTTAATTATCTTATCTCTTAAGAGATGTGAGACTTGCAAGCAAGATAGAGTTATTTTCTATTTAAATACTCTTTAATTATTTTATTTATAGTTAATGTGAGACTTAAATTTTTTTTAATAAATAATTATCGCTAATAATAAATTTTAATTTAATATAAATACATTTTTAGTAACTACTACATATTAATCATTAATATTTTTATTAGATAATAAAATAAATATAATTAATTTATTATCATTAAATAATTTTCAGTAATACTAAATTTTGTTATAGTGAATGTTAGCCAATTTTAACTTATTAATTTAGAAATTAGAGTAAATTATATTAATATCCACCGGAATTTCTTGAAATTGCATATACATTTCTTTTTAATGTTTACAACAACTTCTCCTATATGACGATACAATATAATATATTTTTTTAAATAATTAAGGAGTAATATAATGGTGAAGGTGTGTCAATATAGTTTTTTTTTTAATAATTAAAGAGAGATAAGTATAATAGTAAAAAAAAAAGGCTAAGTATAATCTCATCAAATTTCAAGAGTGTCAATATAATATACTTAAAAAAATTATGAGTATCAAGCTAATTATTAAGTTACGTATTGAACTAATATAATATTGAAAATGATGTTATAGTTATAATTAATTGTCGTTGAAATTGAAAAAAGTTTATTTATTTATTTATTCACTTAAATATGTTTCTGACTCTAAATTTAAAATTATTGTTTATTTAATTACTGTAATTTTTAAAAATATTATCTTTGTTTTTTGAGTTATCAATAATATATTTAAAATTGATAGATTGAGATAGTTATACAGTATCAACTGATTTAATATGATATTTTTATTAATAGAAATATTAGTATGTAGATTTTATACGATAATATTTAACAAATTATTTAATAAAATTTAAATATAAAAATTAAAGTAAGATTTTTTTTAAAATTATAGAGACTAAAAATATATTTAAGTTTTATTTATTTATATTTAAATTCAGTTTAATATATTTAATATTATTGATAATTATTTTGTGAAAATTAGAATATAGATGTAGTTTCTTTTTGTAATAGAAAAAAGAGAGCATACAATCATGATAATAAATAACTAATCGATGAAAAATTATTAGGGTTCGCCCTATTTTGAGTTGGATAGAGAGTGGATATATGAGATATAGAGTTGGGAGAAAAAAACAGAAAAAAAAGAAGAAGAAGATGTGAATGTAATATATATGATGAGAAATGTAAAGAGAAATAGAAAAATGGGAAACAAGTGAGTTACACGAGAGAAATATACTAACGTGTGCTCTTAATTGATTATATATATTTTAAAGAAAATATAATAATATATACTATGCTGGTTCGACCAAAAGATCAAGTGTTGAATGTTAACTGCATTTGAAAAAGTTGTATCTCTGTAGCTTTTACATTCATGATTTTTTTTCTCCTTACCCGAGGAGGCCCAAAAACAGAAAACTAAGTATTAATAAAATAAGCCTTGGGGTACATAGGCCCATGACATCCTGTAACCATTACAAAGAAACCTCGGGAAGGGAGGACATGATAAATTTAATTAAGAAACCCGTATCCACACGTTTTGTTTCAATTTTAGAGCATCTCCTGGGCTCTATATTTAATTAAGAAACCTTTGTTTGTATAGTATGCATGATGAAAAGGTAATTAATATATTATCAGAGAAAAAAAATTATTTGTTGAGTCGTCTAAGAACAATTACTCTAGCTAAATGAAGGTCCGCAATCATACATACAATTTGTTGCAAGTCAGAAAAAATTATGCACTCTAAGTTGAAGGAATAGAAATGCTCTCAGTAACACAAAATAGATAGAAACATGTGAACGTACAAATAATCTAATGATGAGAAAGAGAAACCTTGTAGCCTTGCACTCCTTTATAAAAATTATTACACGCTCTAAAAGAAATATTGATCACTTTTTTTGTTACAAAAATATTGATCATTTCTTAATAGACAAAATGGATGTGTGTTAAATTATTTTCATGCATGCATGGATATTTTTTTAACAGAAATTAATAGTTAATACAAACATAATATTTGTATTAATAATTTATTTTATTAGATAAAAACTATATTAAGAGAAGCTTATCCAATAAAAATCATTCACATGTAATTTTTTTTAGTGACATGTGTCTGAATATGTTGTTTAGGAGTTTCTTTCATACAGACAAATTTAAGGATTGAGGACTCAATCTGATCACATTAGAATTATTTTTGCCTTTAGGTCTAGCGGCTTTCCCATGGATGGTAGTATGTTTGATCGGCCCAAAAGTAAGAATACATAACAAATAAGAGGAATATAAATGGGTACATCTCTGGGCTTTATTTAGTCCATTCATGGACCAAAAAAGGAGATTAGCCTATCGCATTGTTTGGATAAAAAGAAAGTATTAGCCCATCGAAGATTGAACTTAAAACAAAAAGAGTTAATCATCCGTATATTGCTAGTGTAAAAATTTTTATACTGACAACCAATCATATCTTTTAAAGTTGCTTATTTTATTATTATTTCATTAAATAAACAACTGACATGTCACTATTAAAATATATTAAAATATATGATTGGTTGTCTGAATAAAATTTTTTTACACTGATAATCTATAGGTAATTAACTCAAAACAAAATTGTAGACCAAAAAGAAAATATAGGTAACTTCATTATATAAAAAACTAAACTAGTATTTGATTAAAATGTGATGCATCATTCTCTTTCTAAACTTGACCTTCTTTACCTACGATAACTTCCAATTGGCTTTGCTTCTAAAAAATATTATTTTTTTTCCTAGGTGTCTAAGAATGAATGGAACATGTTATCCTAGGTCTATAGACTTAATTCCTATTTATAGAGAATTAAAACATACCCAATGCACTGGCTGAATTGTGGACTTTATGCATTTACACTTTGGCATGTAAGACAACGTGACCTAAATCTCAAAATTTGACATGTTAACCAAGGTGAAGTGAAATGTGAATTAAATAATAAGAGCAATGTTATTTCTTTCAAAAGAAATAGCCGAAAATCCACCCGAATGCTTAAAAAGTTGACACCTGTCACTAACATGTTTTTTTTTTATAAATAATTTTAAAAGGTCAGAAAATGTTTCAGGGGCTTATGTTTGGAGGATACAACATTTTTCAAAATATCTGGATTAGAAAATAAGTTTTTTTTTTTACATAAATAGACAAAAAGTAAAATGATGTGATTATTCATACATGAATAAACATCAACATAATTAAAATGATGTGTTATTTCATGAAAATACAAATTAGAATGTAATGCCTTTTCATATCCGACAGCAAATAAAATGATGTGATTTTTCACTAAAAAAAACTCTATACAAGATGGTATGACTCTATATAAAGTGCATCAATTGAATTAATGTGATTTATTATGAATAGACACAAGATATTTATAAGTAAGGCTATTCTCAATGCACAAGAGACACTCATATATTTATAAGTGAGGCTATTCTCGATGCACAAGAGACACTCATAATCACAGTCCAATCTCGCTCCATTCATAAATTCATTTACCTCAACATAAACAAGATATAAAAAAAATTATTATTTTGTAAATAGGCTTTGGAACCATATTCAAAGGTTTTCATTGCGGGGCAAGAAAATTTGCTGTCAACCCAAGTTATAGTTGAGTTGTAGTATTGGAAAGGGTAAATTGAGCCAAAAGAAATGCTTAGCTACGCTTTCAAGACATTGTAATAGGAAAAGAAAATAAAGAAATATAAGAAAAATGAGTTACATAATGAAAATAAATAAATACAAGTATTTTTAGAAATAATACATTAGTAGAAAAAGTGGACAAAAGATTTCCCTCAAGAAAATGAAGTTTGGCCCGTGAAGTTGGGCACGTGGACATTGGCAGCATCACGGTCTTGTTTCTGCGATTAGAAGTATATTCACGGATTGGCAATGGAAGGTAATGCAGACATGTTCTGACAAAGTTCCGTGACCATGTGGGCCCTACAAAAGAATGCTATTTCCCACCCAATACCATTCGTTATTCCTAGTCCACACCATACTTCCACTCTATTTTACTTTAAAAAAAAAAATATTAAGGATAAACGTAATAGTGGAGGGTATCAAATATAAGTCATGTTTATATTTTTATGTAGTGGAAGTGGAAGAAAAGACAATGGTTGATGCACGCTACAACATGCATGATTTTGTCCTTGCATGTCAGAGGGAGGCTAGAGAAGGAGAACCACAAATCAAAAAGATGCAAGGCAAAACAATGTGGAATGAAACTGAAAATAGTAAAAATGGCCACATTACATTAATTTATATATATATACTTGCAGTGCGCTCAACACTAATAATGGATTGTATCTTTTCAAACTTGGCACGCCAATTCATTATTTCCCTCAATTCTCGGTACACCGCAATCAGATGCTGAATGCTGAATGCTGAATCATCACACTTCCAACTCAATAATGAAAACGTTTTATGTTTTTTACTTTCGTAGATCTAATTTATATGTAATTATGACGACTTGTTTTCCATTAGATACTTCAAGCTCCTACATGAACTGAAATTTAATGTAGTAACGCAATCTTTACAATATGTTCAAACTTCATCTCTGCGATTTTTCACACGCTATTGAATTGAATCCGAAAAAACTTGTCGAGCGAAATTTGTAAACGTCACCTTACAAGGCACGTTCCTGTTATCTCATTCACATGACGAATAAGAGTTATATATATATTGTGGGGTAGCACAAAATGAAAGCAAAATATAACCCTCAATAATTATTATATAAATGCATGTATATATATACCCACAATTTCTCCCCATGTAAACATACCAATAGCTCAAAGCCGCACCTATTTTCTCCCCTAAACAAAATTCAGGTACAAGAACAACACTGTTTAACCCTCATTTTCTTTTTTCCTAGCATTAAGTAGAACAACATCTACATTGACATCTTGATACATATGAATCATATTTGACATGTGAAATTTTGTAGGTCATGGACGTGTTGTTGTTATTATTTGTTATCTTGGTTGGTTGGCCAAACCTGGTTGTAGTAGAGAGCCGAAAAGCACCAGTTGTGGACTACTTTGAGTATTGTGCTTTGAGCTGCAGAGCTTATAGTGCCTCATTGGAAGAGTTTGGAGGGGTTGGTGATGGAACAACTTTGAACACAAAAGCCTTTCAGGCAGCCATAGATCATTTGAGTCAGTATGCATCAAGTGGTGGGTCTCAACTTTATGTTCCCCCAGGAAGGTGGTTAACTGGAAGCTTCAATCTCACCAGCCATTTCACATTATTCCTACACAAGGATGCTGTGATTCTTGGCTCTCAGGTCTAATAGTTTAATTCTTGCAGGTTAATTTGCTAGTGTTATGTTGTTCTAATATTCAATGTATTGATATTATGTTTGTTTTAAAACTATGGTATTAGGATGAAAATGATTGGCCAGTGATTGATCCCCTGCCATCTTATGGCAGAGGGAGGGACACGCAAGGTGGAAGGTTTAGCAGCCTAATTTTTGGAACCAACCTCACAGATGTGGTCATAACTGGTAATCAAATGAAACTTATTTGGGATTAGAAATGTAGTCTGTCCACCTGAGTATTTGCTTATTTAATTATTTAATTCAAATTTTTTTTCTACTTTCAAGGTGACAATGGCACATTAGATGGACAAGGTGATTTGTGGTGGCAAAAATTCCACAAGGGGGAGCTCAGTTATACCCGGCCTTACCTGATTGAAATCATGTACTCAGACAATGTTCAGATATCCAATCTCACTTTGGTTAATTCTCCATCTTGGAATGTCCATCCTGTATACAGCAGGTTCATCTTTTTTCCTCTCTTGGTTATATCTATTATCTTTAATAATGGACTCTACAAACCATATTGTTTTGTGTCTTCAAATTAATATAAGAATTTGAATGTAGCAACGTTGTTGTTCAAGGAATCACAATTCTTGCTCCTGTGACATCGCCAAATACAGATGGAATCAACCCTGGTAAGTTAGAAAATATCTCCAAATCCTTTCCTAGATGATACAACTTAGTTATAGAATTCTATCAGTAATCCTGAGTTGTAAGTAAATTTTAAAAATTAGAAGGGAGGTATATGTCATTTAAAAAGATAAGTACAATTTTTCATTAATCAATGATATATATATATATATATAGTCTACAATATATTTGAAATTTTTATTGAAATAAATCGTAATATATTCTATCCTTACAAAACATTAAATTGAAATATCGAAACAAAGTCGCTGAATCATAC